CTGTGGTCCCTCCTGACAACCGCTACCCCAATCCAGTGGTTTCTCCTGCTTTCTGAGTGCCATAGCATCTGCAGAGCATATGTCTCCAAAACTCATAAAAATACACTATTTGCCTTTAAACATATAGGTTGTATGTGTTAGCCAGTTTTAAACATTTAATATTTGAATTGCATTTTCCATGACATATTAAATGTTGGTTTTGTATATTTGTGGGTGCTTTAGATAGAACAGGGACAAAATTTTAATGGATGCCCTTGTTGTCCTTTTCTTGAGTTAATTTTATGAGCTGTTTGCTTACTAACTAGTACTTTGAATTGCAAGTGAACAAGTCTCAGAATTGCTCAAATACTGAATTAAGAGCATTTCATAATTCCGGGAAGAAACAGGCAATTAATCATAGTAAATCATTAAGCATGGAAACAGTGATAGGTAAATGCATTTTCATGAATAAGCAGGAAAAAAATGATTTGTTTGTTAACTCCCTCCACTCACAGCTGTAATGGAACTTCCAAAATGTTCCGTTTCCCAGAATGCCTCTTTTCTGTGCAGTTTTTGCAGCTCCAACACCATACCCTCTAATTCCTGTAGTTATAGTGCAAATATTTTACGTGCTGATTTTCAAAGATGAACAGTCATAACTACCACTGGCAGCAGGCTATTTGTTTCTTGTGGAACGAGGTTAAAGACCCAGTTATGGAAGGTTAAAGATTTTTAATGGCTACTACTATAGTATGACTGAAAAATTTTGAAGTGACTAAATTTCATATTACAATTTTACAGCAGAAGGTAACAAGCATTTCTTTTAGGACTTGAACTTGGAGGCTTGCATGTGAGGGTTGTGAGGGAACAGCGCTGAGTAACTGGTAAGGTTGCTGACCATGGGAATTTACTCTGTGATGGGATGTAGGGCCACAGACTGGTAGGTTTGCAGGAACACTATGATCAGCATACATCATGAGGCAGTAAGCAGGTGGCTGCACGGCATACATTTTTAGAATCCTTTGATTATTTTTTCTGTCAGTGGTTGGCCTTCCTGGCTGCCCTTCTCTCTGTTTCTTCTAAGTATTACACTTGTCTGAACTTCTAGTGTGGGCTTGCAATTGGGGCTACCTGAAAAAATTTAAAATGTCATTTGCATCTAAGTACCTATGTCTCAGAAATTCCCTGTCTCCACCCCTTCCACTTCTTGCCCTAACCCTGGTACCATTCCACTCAGGCAAACAGAGGATTGCTCAATGTTCCTGAGTGCTATGAACACCCCTCTGCACTACACAGATGCTTCCCTGTACAAGTGCTGAGCAAATGCAGATTTCTAAGCAAAAGGAATTTTGGCTCTACTTGTCTCGCAGCAGCCTACAACATATTCCTCCTCTACCCCCTCAATTCAACAAAACACTTAAGCTCATTGACACAAAAGATAAGCACATGCTTAAATGCCTCACTGAAACAGGCCGTAGGAAAAAAGAAGTGTTTACAATGTTAGTGTTGCCTTGTTATTCCTGGGAGAGACTGCATGGTGTTTTATTATCATTTTATAAGGCACATATTTGCCATTTGCTGTTTTGATCCCTGATTCTAGTTTACGTTCCTATGAAGGTTCACTTGTTTATTCAGGTGTTTCTACTGCAGTCAGAAATGCTTGTTGAATTTTGGTGAGCCTTTACACTCTGAAATGTCTTGTTTATTAGACTAGAAAATTGTGGCAACCCAGCTTTGTGTTGTATATAAAATCCGAGACATGAATCTGTCATTTTAAAATGTCAAAATTAGAGCTCTGACACTTTGGAAAAAGTGAGTTCTCCAACAGTGCGGATCTATGGAGTGCATAATTAAAGGGACATCATTAATTTTTTTTTTCAGTAGCTTTGCATTTGTTTTCTGCTTCATGTTTTGTAAAGCCTAGAGTGCCTGGTAGTTAACTTATATTAGTTAACGTGTGGTCCCTCGATTGGTTTCCTATGGACATCTGAAAGGGCAGTTCAAAATACAGTATGGTCTACATGAACATTGCATTAGTATCTTGTTGATAGTGAAGGAATCTGTCCTTATTGTATAGAATTTGGAAGACATTCCAAGCCAAATAATAAAGTGTGACAAAGTTCCTGCTCTACCTTGGTGGGTCTTGCGCTTATTGGCGGATTTGCTCGCCTTGGAGCTTCACGGCAGCCCTCAGCTTGGCCGTTTTTCTGAATCCACAGTCCAGGTCGACGACTCCTATGTCTGACCAGGAGTTGGGAGGATTTGGGGGGAACCTAGGCCGCCCTCTACTCCGGGTTCCAGCCCAGGGCCCTGTGGAATGCAGCTGTCTAGAGTGTCTCTTGGAACAGCTGTGCGACAGCTACAACTCCCTGGGCTACTTCCCCATGGCCTCTTCCCAACACCTTCTTTATCCTCACCATAGGACCTTCCTCCTGGTGTCTGATAATGCTTGTACACCTCAGTCCTCCAACAGTCTGCGTTCTCACTGTCAGCTACTCGTGCCTCTTGCTCCCAGCTCCTCACACGCACACCACAAACTGAAGTGAACTTCTTTTTAAAACCCAGGTGCCCTGATTAGCCTGCCTTAATTGATTCTAGCAGCTTCTTGATTGGCTGCAGGTGTTCTAATCAGCCTGTCTTAATTGTCTCCAGAAGGTTCCTGATTGTTCTGGAACCTTCCCTGTTACCTTACCCAGGAAAAAGGGACCTACCTAGCCTGGGGCTTATATATCTGCCTTCTGTTACTCTCCTATAGCCAACTGGCCCGACCCTGTCACAAAAGTCAGTCACATTTTGGATATACTCTGCTTAACAACTTCTCTCTTTTTAAAGTCAAATGTGAAATTATTAAGAAACAACAAAATTAAGTAAATAAATGCGCTAATCATGTTCTGGGCTTATGAATCCTTTTTCTCTACTGGATGTTCTTGCTGTCATGGAAAACACGAGTTAGTCTCTGTTATAATTCCACCAATATTGTCACTTTTCAGAGCCCCTTTTCATCCAGAGCCCTATGAGCACATAGCACCAAATCCAAATGCTATCCCCAGCAAAATTGGATGGGATGGTTTACTAGGAAACCCATTCTCTGGGCAACAACTGACTATGTCTGAAGTCAAAACTCTTCTAAGGCTCACTAATAATTAAATAGATTAAATGGGCTTTGCATCATCATGGCATTATAAACTATTTTCATTGGCAGAAGGTTTGTTTTATTTTGATGGTTAATTATGCTTTTTACAATTTATGTGTAAATATACAAAATATAGCTGAGATCCACCAACTGGATCCATGCAGACAGACTATTGCACCCAGTGCAGAATTCACTGAAATCAGTGGGGCTTTGCCCAAGTGCATCCAGTTTCAGGACTGATGTTCACATAAGGTCCTGCAAATTCATGGCTCCATATAGATCCCTGTGTCTATATGGAGCCTCATTGACTTTAATGGGGCTCTGACTGAGTGCATGAGCCCATCTGTGTATTGGAATTTGCAGGGTAAGCAAGGTTTAAAAAGATGCTATCCAATCAATATGTGTGTGTTGTGACCTTGTACAAAAATTCCAAGGCCCTGAGGGTACCCATAAATGTCGGAAAGGAAAGATGATTATCAGTTCCTTTTCCTTTCCCCAGAAAGGTGTGTGTGTGGCGGGGGGATTAGTTACTAAAATCCTGACACTTTGGCAAATAAGCTTTTAATTTTAAAAAAGGAATTATAATGAACTTTTTCCCTCAAAGTACATATCCAAAGAACTATTAAATCAACCATTTGCAGGTAAGACTGAATCCTCAACAGGATTCTCACTTTCTCCTGCTGGAGATGAGTAGAGTTGTGAACCCTCCCAGTTTCGCCGGGAGTCTCCCAGAATCAGGCTCTATGTCCCGAAGGCTACTGGAGCCAAACCGGGAGATTTTAGGCCGCTAAAAGTCTGGTGGGGCTAAGGCAGGCTCATTGCCTGCCCTGGCTCTGCACTGCTCCCAGAAGCGGCCAGCACATCCCAGTGGCTCCTGCCGGGGGAGGTCTCCACATGCTGCCCCCGCCTGGAGCTCCGACTCCACAGCTCCCATTGGCCTGGAACTGCAACCAATGGGAGCTGTGGGGGAAGTTCCTGCAGGCAGGGGCAGCACACAGAAACCCCGGCCTCCTCCTCAGGGGCCACAGGGACAAGCCAGCTACTTCTGAGAGCAGCATGGGGCCAGGGCAGGCAGAGAGCCTGCCTAAGCCCTACTGCATCACCGACCGGGAGCTGCTTGAGGTAAGTTCTGTCCAGCTGGAGCCCACACCACTCACCCCAACCCTCTGCCCCAGACCTGAGCCCCCTCCCACACTCCAACTCCCTCCCAGAGTCTGCACCCCGCATCCCCTCCTGCAGCCCAACCCCCTGCTCCAAGCTCAGCCTGGAGGCCCCTCCCACACTCCAAAACCCTCCACCCCAGCCCAGTGAAAAGTGAGTCATGGTGGGGGAGAATGAGCAATGGAAGAAGCGGGGATGGAGTGAGTGGGTGGGACCCCAGGGAAGGGGCGGGGCAAGGAGAGGGAAAGGATGTTTGGGTTTGTGTGATTAGACAGTTGGCAACCCTAGAGATGAGACCTTTTTTCTTCTATAATTGACATAACAAGAAATCCTTGCCTTGTTTATAGCCACAGAATGAGAATCTCTTGTCACCCTGGTTTTGTTTGTTTAAATGTATCCTGTCTTTGCAGTTTTTTTCTCCATTTAGATAAGGATCTGGGGACTAGACACCTCTAAATGACAGGCACCTCTAAACATGGTTGTTGTTTCCATAAGTGTCAATGTTGTGTCATGTATTTTTTTTTTTTTTGTATTCATAGAATATCACTGTTGGAAGGGACCTCAGGAGGTCATCTAGTCTAACCCCCTGCTCAAAGCAGGACCAATACCCAGTTGTTGCCCCAGATCCCTAAATGGCCCCCTCAAGGATTGAACTCACAACCCTGGGTTTAGCAGACCAATGCTCAAACCACTGAGCTATCCCCTCCTCCTAAGGAAGAGGGTTTTAAGGGGGCACTTGGATTTAAACCAAGGACCATTTGATCTGCAATCAGACACTCTACCACTGAGCTATACCCCCATGCCATAAAGAGGTGGTGTAGCACTGGCATATGAACCCACGCCTCCATAGGGGTATTGCTTACCTACTAACTACCACCTTGTGGAACTGCATCCTCACTTTGTGGGTACACCCTCCCCGCCCGCCCCATCTCTGGTTGCAGTATTGTGTGTGGTCCTCGGCTTTGGCACTCCCAGTGGGCTCTCTCTCTGGCCTGTTATGGCTTTTCTCAGCCTGTGTCTTCCCCCAACTTCCCCTCAGGGTATTCTGTGGCTTGGCCCTGCAGCCAAGTCATGTAAAAGTCTGAGCCTCTTCCAGCATGGTACAAAGAAGTCCAAATAAAAACTCAAACAAGTTTTCAAATTAATAGCCTTCCACACCTCTCAGGCTTCATTAGGCACCTAAGAACCTTTAACAGTCTGGCCCTGGATGCTACCTCACCGTTGTGCCATTGAAAATATTCACCCCACTTTCTCATATTTAGTGTGCTTTTCTATACCTCTTAGTCAACCTACCTTCTGAGACCCAGATACTACAAGAGGATCCATGCAGATAAATCAATTGAGGGGTTCTCCAGTGCTTATCCTACTATGGTACTGGAATATAAGCAGTTTAAAGGGAAACAGCAACAATAAAACACCATACACGTAGTTTGTTATATGTAGAAAGTTATATGTTCAGGCCACACAAAGTTTTTTATGACAAAAAGCTTCTCAGAATTGACATACATAACTTTGTGCTTGGAATATATATTTCTGGATCACTTATTCCGTCTGGAAATATTTGTGCACACTGCATCAGGTGTTCTGTGGCACCAGGTCCTTGTACTGGCAAAGGGGAGCTTCCATCCTGATCACTATAATTTCTTTACAGTTTTCAAAACAATGTCTGTTGGACTTGTTTATCGAATGTGATCCAGGTAGAGGCAGAAAGAAATAAACATGGAGGAGAACAAGTGTATCTTGACAGCAAAGTCCTTTAAAAAGGTCTATTCTATACATATTTTGGCAATTTGGTGGTAGGAATATAAATCATATGTATAAAGTAAGAAAAACGGGGAGCTTCTGAAGGCTGTGAATTTTTACAGTGTGTCAGCATGTAGTTAAATCAGCTGCTTCCCTTAACTGTGGTTGTTGTAGAGTGTGATGCTGCATAATGAGAATGTGATGCTGCCACAGCTGCAGTCCTCCCTGTAGCTGCTATGAGTCACTCTGTTCAATATTCTGAAAATCATTCCAGGGAACAGTGCAAACATGCTTTCCATAAACAGTGCTGCCCCATTAAAAACATTGGAATCTGTTTTCTCTTCAGTGTGTATTAATTGGTGATATATATGAATAAAGAATGATAATAATAATGTTGAATCAAGAACAAATAAGTATATGTACTAGATCAACTCTGAGGAGGAATTTGATTTATTTACTCTTCCTCTGACAGTAAGTATAGCTGGAATTTCATAATTGTTTACTGTGACTCTAATGTTACCTTCCAGAAATCATTTAAATATTGTTTAAGCTGATGTGTTGGAAAATCTTTTAAAAGTATATTCCACACCCTGCCCTCTGTGTACACCTCAAACAACTACCAGGAAGGAATAAGTCCAGGAGTAAGAGGCTACCATTGTTATCCTTAAACAAAGCAAATTAGATCTTTTTACAGAGGAGAAGGCAACAAACCACATTTATTGAGAATACAGCAGTTAACATATCTTTTCAGTCACACACACACCATGCACACAGTCCCGCCAGTCGATGTTTATAGTTACCAGTCCAGAGTCTGGATCAATCTAGTGGCCAGCCAGATTGCTCACAGAGGGGAGCTGGGCTCTGTCGGTTTCGATCCGATACTCCTGGAGTAATGGCAAGACGAACCCAAAGTCCCATGGCAAAGCACCCTGTTCTTATAGTCTTTTTTCTCTGTTGAAGTCTATGGATTTTCCTGTGTCAGTTTATGACCAGTTACTCCTTAATTGGTGTTATCTTTTGATGTTAACATTCCAAAACACCTCTGAGAGGGTCATCCTGTCCCGGATTTGATTTAATCAATCGCTTTAGGGGTGCCAGCCTCCACCTCAGGGTCGTCAATCTGCCCTTCCTCAATCATGGATGCATGTTGATGATTCTCTGGCATCGATAAGTCTCATAAAGTATCTTCAGTCCTCCTTTCTTGACCATCTGGTTAACAATGGCCTTCACACCTTATCTTTTCCAGATACATACATTCCTCATTCACACAGTCTTTTATAGAGACCTTTGAGAATACAAACAGCAGTATTTTTTTATAGAGTGAGAAAACATTACATTAAACCTTGCTAAATGTTATAACCAAAACAATTCACATTGAGGCCCAGGCCATCAACGTTCCTCTAATCTACTTAACATAGACACAATACAGAATCCTGTCTCATACTAACTAAACCTTACAACAAAACTAAAAGGGCCTAATTTGTAATGCATATGGGGAACAGGATCCTATAGTCCCAGAGGGTCATTCCTTTCTCCTTATTCAAAAAGGGTGTCTGGCAGGATGGAATCAAATCATACATTAATTCTCATAGCACAATTACAAAATCCTGCTCCTACACCATGTGTATTCAATCTTTGGATCTGCTGAGAATGTCAGCCATGAGGAGCCCGTTAGTAATGATTTCGGTGATTGCTGTGTGTTGTGTAAACTTGTCCATTATGGACTGGACTGAGACCACAGACCCACTTCCCGTATAGTTGGCCATCCACTAGACATCGGGTGTGAATGACTTGTGTTCTCTTCTGACCTGGACTAAATTTCAATCTGTGGCCTAGAGAAGAAAGGCTCCAATACTCCATTACCAGTTCCCTGAGTCTTCCAGTCTCTCACTAACTACTGCCTCAAAGATGTATGAAACAAAGAAACCCATCTTCTGTTGCATGTATTTAATTTATGGAAAAATGGAGTTTTCTCCTGCTACATTGATGGATTTTTTATTTATTGTTGACACATGGATGAGAAATTCACAGAAGAGTGGAGGAGTTTTATAGAAAGTAGGAGTGGGGATAGAGAGGAATCAACAGCATTCTGGAGATATTACATTTTCCTTTCTTTTGTGAGGAATGTCACCTTTCTGAGAGAGTTCAAGTCTCTTGGGTTATCATTCTTGATTTCCAAGAATAAAAGTAAATGAAAGATGAATGAATTTTGCTGTATTTCTTCCATAATAAAATCTTTTAATTAGTTACAAATAACTTATCCCTTTGTTGCAATGACCCCTTCTCAGTGAGCTTCTTTTATTCTATTACTTAACCATGTAAGTAATATGATTCATATCTCTCCCATATGAAAACTCTTCAAAGGGGACTATGTCAGTTTTGATATTAGTTATTCAAAACTGTACTTATTTGTAGACTGTAAAAATCAGTTTTTAGGATCACATTCTATGTGTTTTGAGCTGTAATTCTGGCACATGAAATGAATAGTCTGAGGGCTGGGCCACATTGGGAACATACATCAGAATAGCTATGTCTCTCAGAGGTGTGAAAAATCCTCACCCCTGAAAGATGTAGCTATGACAACCTAACCTGCTGTGTAGACAGTACTAGGTTGAAGGAAGAATTCTTGGGGAGGTGGATTACCTGCTGTTAGTGTAGGTAGTGTCTACACTAAATAGCTACAGCAGTGCAGCTGCAGCTCTGCTACTGTAGCAGTTTAAGTGTAGACGTACGCTCAGTCTTTGCTCTTTAAGCAAAGCTCTTAATTCCTACAAGATGTTCCATGTGAGCAGACTGTTGTGGGCCTGAGACCACCCTGCTTCCTGTGAAGGGCTTCTCTTGATAGTTCAAGAGACAGGAGGGGGCAGGATATGTTCACTGGAGGATCCTCTTCTGGTGTTTTCTTCTCTTGCCAGTCCAAGGGACCCTGAAACTGAGGAATTCTGCAGCAACGGCAAGGCCTTATGGGGAAGGACAGAAGTCTCCAAAGAATGAGTTGGGGACCGTGTTTGAATATCTTTCCTCATCATGGAATAAGAACATAAAAACATAAGAATGACCATACTGGATCAGACCAATGGTCCATCCAGCCAGTATCCTGTCTTCCAACAGTGGTCAGAGCCAGATGCTTCAGACAGAATTAACAGAACGTAAGAACAGCCATACTGCGTCAGATCAGTATCCTGTCTTTTGACAGTGGCCAATGCCAGGGGAATGAACAGAACAGGTAATCATCAAGTGATCCAATCCCCACCCATTCCCAGCTTCCGGCATACAGAGGTTAGGGACACCATCCCTGCCCATCCTGGGAACAGGGCAATTCTCAAGTAATCCATCCCATCTCATCCAGTCCTAGCTTCTGACAGTTGAAGGTTTAAGGACACCTAGAGCATGAAGTTGCATCCCTGACCATCTTGGCTACTAGCCATTAATGGACTTATCGTCCATGAATTTATCTAATCCTATATTGAAACCAGTTGTGATGCTGTGCATTAGAAAGATGACGATTTGTATCATTAAGAAAAGGTTTCAGAGTAACAGCCGTGTTAGTCTGTATTCGCAAAAAGAAAAGGAGTACTTGTGGCACCTTAGAGACTAACCAATTTATTTGAGCATGAGCTTTCGTGAGCTACAGCTCACTTCATCGGATGCATTCAGTGGAAAATACAGTGGGGAGATTTATATACATAGAGAACATGAAACAATGGATGTTACCATACACACTGTAACAAGAGAGTGATCACTTAAGGTGAGCTATTTACCAGCAGGAAAGCGGGGGTGGGAAACCTTTTGTAGTGATAATCAAGGTGGGCCATTTCCAGCAGTTGACAAGAACATCTGAGGAACAGTGCGGGGTGGAGGTGGGGAATAAACATGGGGAAATAGTTTTACTTTGTGTAATGACCCATCCACTCCCAGTCTCTATTCAAGCCTAAGTTAATTGTATCAGTTTGCAAATTAATTCCAATTCAGCAGTCTCTCGTTGGAGTCTGTTTTTAAAGATTTTTTGTTGAAGAATTGCAACTTTTAGGTCTGTAATAGAGTGACCAAAGAGAT